TCCACATTTATAGGAGAAAGGAATAAGTGCTAGGTCTTCATTCATTTTCTCTCCTTAGCTTCTTGGTTAAATAAAGAAACTAGATCTGTGATTCTAAAGATGCCTATCTGCTCCAAACCTTACCTAATTATCATTTTCAAGCTGTGACACTGGGCACATCTATAAAAAGGTAACATAATCCAGCAAACAGTCCCAAAATACATTTTAGCAAAATACTTGTTAAGCAATTCTCTTCTCATATTCAAAAATATGAATTTTTGATATGAAGGTAAGGCAGTCAGGAAAAGCATTATAATTGGCATTTGGGAACTTCACCAAAAAAAAAATCTGATTTAGTCTAAGCAGAGCTCAGAAGGTTCCCAAAGTTTTTACCCAATGAGTTTAATTGCAATTTTTAAAGGCATCCAAATAGATCTTAATTTCAGCAGTTCCCTGCCCCCATTCCCTTTTAGATGCTATCAGTTCCAAGCCTTGGATAGGTCCAAAGAAGCTTTAAACAGACCAGACCATCAAAACACCATTGAGTGAAGAATGGGAAGGCAAAGATTTAAAACAATATCCAAACTGTTCTTGCCATCAGTCAGGAAACAGAAAACAGAGTCAGGTATAAATAATCCATTTTATCTTGAGGTGATATCCTTTTAACTGCCATCAAAGCCCTTTTCTGCCATGTGGCCAGTCCCTGGTTAATGCAAAAGAGTATCTATGAGGCTAGGTGCCTCCTTAGTACTACACCTCTTTTTCCATTCTAGCTGGCAAAACTACTTAAAGCATTTTTTCATCCTTCTCCAAATGTAGGCTGTTTAACTTCTTGGTTTGAGACCTACAGAGTTTAGGCATCATAATTTACCAAAGTCTGAAGTTTGATATTCATCCAAGCCACAAAATTTAAAGTCATTTTCAAAGGTGGTATAATCGCTTTTCTCCAGCCAAAAGCAGGTGTCAAAAATGTTTTTCCAAGCCAAAATAGTTAGTTACTGTAGGACCTTCCCAATATGATCACCTTACTTGCAGGAGGAATGCCCCATTCTCACAAACCTCAAATCCATAAGATTAAAGGGACAAGTAGTAAGGGTCAGACACAGTTTATATAAATAAAAATTTTAAACTATGCCAGCTGTGGTTTATGTGTTTAATCTGAAGAACAGGAAAACTTGAAGCTGTGCCATGTAAAACTAAAGTGTTATTTTTAAAGCTAAGAATGATTGGAGTTTCTTTAAATTCCATCGACAATAATAAGATAAAATATTGAACTATTGAATGACTGCCGACTTTCTTAAATAGAATCTGTTGAAAAGCCTTTCGAATACAACATAGTAATGTTAAATTTTCTAGTGATGATTAGATTTGCCGAGTTATGAGAATTTTCAAAAGTTGACCTTCAAAGCTAGACTTTAGTATTTTTATTAGGAAATCTAGGAAAAAATCCAATTGCAAATTTTAAATTAGAAAAAAAAGTTGTTCCTCTTTTCAGATTATACTGATTTCCTAATTACTATACTCCTACCTGTGCCTGAGCAGATGAAAACACCTCTAGACTTATTCTAATTTGACCACTAAATAGTGGCAAACAACCAACTGGCCTCACCAAGAAGTTTCCTCTCATCTCAAAAGGTTATCAAGCATTAAGAAATGCCATTGTAAGAACTGGAGAATAAAAACTGAAATTTGTTCTTTCCCTTAAGAATAATGCATACTTCATACTAAAAAAAAAAACTACTTATATTTTTAGTTTGGTGTCCAATTTATCAGAAAAAAAGATTTATCTTTGCCTAAGTAGTTTGTGGGGTCCCTAATACAATATTGCAAACTATTATGTAATTAACATGTATCAGTTTACACCAACTTTGCTCAGCTTGCACAAAGACTATGAATGTTAATCTATCCATTTCTTTTTTTCATCAACCAACCTACACAACACATCCATGTGAAATAAGTTATCATTATTTCCTAGTTTGGAAGGCTTACAACACTAACACAACCCAATTTGCCCAAGGCTAGGCAATAAATCAGCCACAGAACCGAAATCAAAAGTGAGAGGTTCTTAACTTCCAGTCCTGTGATCTAACCATCAGACCATGACATTGACCACAACTAGTCTCCTACAGGGTTAATACAAGGCAACTCAAATGTTCCCCTCTAAAATAAACATTAATAATCTTCCACTACAGAACTATTCTGTTGTGCTTCAAGTGACCTTGATTCCTGAGGGCTATGCCAGCAAAACACAGGGTCTATCTGATCCTATCAAGCTAAGAAATTTTCAAGTAGAGCCCCAAAGATAACTGATTGTTATCCAAGCATTGGGCTAGCTACCTGTGGAGTAGTGTGGTTCATCACCAGGAGATAAACAGACCACCAGCAAAAAAAAAAAAAAAATTGGCCACAGCAATTCAATAGATCATCCATTAAGATCCAGATCTTCATCAGCCAAAGGAGGATCTACATTGCTGAAAATGCAGAACTTTTGTAAATTATATCATGCTTAATAAGTAGAAAGCATGATATTGTGAGGAAAGATAACTAGATTGAGAGTCAAAAGACAGGCTGTGAGTTGTTCATGTAACTATAGGTAAATCAATCTTATTGGACCTCAATTTCCTCATATGTAAAACTAAGGGCGGCGGGGGTAGATTAAATCAAGGATTCTTAACCTGGAGTCAGAGGATCATGGTCCAAGGTCCATGAATTTGGATGAGAAAAAAAACTGCATCTAAATTTACATTAATCTTTCATTTCCTTCATAATCTATTTGGAGAAGGGGTCCATAGACTTCACCAAACTGCCAAAGGCACCCATGACACAAAAAAGGTTAAGAATTTGATGGATGAGATGATCCTGCCCTAAAGTTATAGAATTCTAACAATAAATTTGGACTTGGGGGTAACTCAACAGATATCAACCTGTATGCAGCCTCTATCCAATGTGTATTCTCTTATATCCCAGTGCTAGTCAAGGCAAACTCCAGAGCTAACATTTCCCAGAACTCTTTCTCCCAGATCAAAACGGCTCTATCCAGCCTAAGCAGTGCTGATCCCATCCCAAGTCTTGGTGCCTCAGCTCTGAAATACTGAATACAACACACTAAAACATAAAAAGGAGACCTTAAATATCACCTAGTCCAAACACCTCATTTTATAAAGGAGGAAAACCAAGGCCCAGAGAGTGGCTTTATGAAAGCTAGAGATACCAGTTCAATTTCAGGACGTGGGTCCACGGTGGGACAGCTCTAGAAATCTGGTACATCCTGAGACCACCTGGAGGTACAACTCAAGGTCAGGTTACCTCCCATCTACTAGGTTGACTTTTTATGTCCCGGTTTATGTTTTCTCTCACCCTAGAATTTAAGTTTCTTGAGGATAGAGAATATTTTCTCTCTTTGCATCCCCCAGTTCCCAGGTCAGTGAATGGCACAAAGTAAGCACTTAATATTTGTTGTCTGATGGTAAGAATTTCTTTTCCTTGGAAAAGGATCCACAGCCAAAGTCAAACTTAGTTCTTGGGGTGGGGAAAACTAGGGTGTTGGGTTTCCCTGGCTATGGACTTCTGGAAATCTTTGGTTTTTATTTCTGTCAAGCACAGCTATCCATTTGACCAAAGAGATCAAAGATGGAAAAAATACTATTTTAGCCTGAAAAATTAATTTCTTGGAGAGGCTTTCTATAGTCACAGTTATATCTACTACTCTAAGTGGTAAATTAGGCATTTATTAGCACCTACTATGTGCCAGGCACTGTGCTAAGGCTGGGAATAAAAAAAAAAGTCAAAAGATTGTCCTGGCCCGTGAGAAGCTCAGAATCTAATGGGCTAATCGAATCAAGCCAACTTCACCAGAAGAGATGTCCTATATAAACAACTTTAAAGCCACCCTAGTCTCAAGCTTAACAGCTGCATTCCAAAGGCACCAAGTCAAAGAAGACGACATGGGAGGCCCGAGAGGACAGGGAAGCTGGAGAGCCAAAGGACCGTCAAATTAATCTGCTGTGAAGATCAGGAATCATAAATTTTGTAGGAACATCTTTTCAGAAAGCCAAGGGCTGCATTTTAACCAAATAGATCAAAAAGAACATCTTCCTGAAATGGCAAGTGTTTTGCCAAGATATCTTTTTAAAACCCCTCGGCACGAACAAAGCACATGGCGGTATGGATGCCTGGGTACTCACCTCTCCACACTACACCGGAGAAGCTACACCCAGCTCCAACCAGAACCCCACGCCAAACCACCTGCCCGGCAATTCCGCCCACCAGGGCAGAGGGAAAGGAAAAAAAGGGGGGAGAAGTTTCCGGAGCAAGAAACTCCCACGACTTAGGCTAGAGCGACTAGGTCAAGGCAGTTCCCAGGGAGGCCAGCTGTGCTCCCCAGGCTCCAAGAAACGTTCCATCATCTCCTAGCCTCCTTAAGCCTGCCCTCCCCCATCTCCCCCCTAACCTCCTCCACACACATCCATTACCGCCACATACCACGTACTCTCCAGGCGACCTGGAGCTTCTACGGAAACGCAAGGATCCCGAGCAGCATTCAGTTTGGAGGGAGGGAGTATAGATGCACGTAGCTTATGTGCATGTGTGTATGTCTACACATAAAGATGTTAAACAGCGTCTATAAATGGCAAGCTGCATATAAACTCATCTTGCAAACACACATGTAAGAATCAACCAGACAGAGACATAGTTAGAGAAAAGTCAGTGACCCCCAAAGCAGAGCGAACGCCAACCACCTCCCCCCAGAAACTGTCAGCACCAGTGGCCCTGGGCACAGCGGGACGCTGGAGAGCGTTGTGCGTGAGAAAGACCGCCAGAACCCCCAACCCTTCAGTGGGGCAACTAGCAGGGGACCCTCCCCATTAAATGGTGCAAACCCTGCCCCCACCCCTCTGCGCAACACACCACCCTCCATGCTGGGGGCAATGTTCGCCCTGGGCTAGGCGCTGCCAGGGCGCAGGGTCCAAGAGCAGGTAGAGGAAAGAAAAGGTAAGGAGAAGGAAGGAAAAGAACCTCACCTCTTCATCCTGTTCCTCCTGAGACGCGCTGCTGCGCTCAGCCCCGGGCAGCCCGGCTCCCAGGTTCACTGACTGCCGGGCAGCACCGCGATCCGCTTGCGGCTCCAGCTGCAGCCGCCGTCGGGCTTCTCCCGGCCCTTCTGCGCCCGGAGCTGGCTGGGCAGGAGGAGGCGGCAGTGACGGCTGCTGCTGCTGACCGCAGGAGGAGGCGGTCTGGGCACTAGGCTCCCCTTCCTCCGACAGAGTTTCGGAGCCAGAAGAGGACACTGACGAGTTGGTGCAGGGGGACGCGGCTGCAGCGGGAACGGCCGCCAGAGCCGGAATCAGGCTGTTGCTGCTGCTACTGCAGCCGCGGCGGGGCACTGGCTCCGGAGGCTCCGAAAGTTTCTCGCCCATTTCCTTCGCTCTCTCCAAAGTGCAGCCCCGGCACCGGCCGAAGGGGACTGACCCCCTGTCTGAGAGACCGCTCGGGGCGCCCACGTCAGGGGCCCGCGACTGCGGTGTGCATGCCGCGCTGCCTAGCCTCGGGCTGCTTCTCAGTCTCTTCCCCCTGGCCAGGTGGGGAGAGGAGCGCACGGCGGTCCAGAGGAAGCACCGCGGGCTGCTACATGGCCAGCTCGGGGCCGAGAGACACCGCCGCCAAGTTTGCTGCTCCGGAGTCGGCGGCGGTGGCGCTGCTGCTGCTGTTGCTGCTGCTAGTGCTGGGGAGGCGGCGGCGGCGGCGTCGTGGGGGGACTCCTGTGCGCAGGGACATGCTAAGCAGGCGCCAGCAGCGACACCCCGCTCCGCCGTTCCCTCCCGCGCCCGCTTGCCCTGCGTGCTTTCTCCTCCCGGGGCTGCTGCCCAGGCTGGAACTGGAGCGGCGGCCGCTCCTTTGGCTAAACCTGCCTCCGGACCCGAGCAGGGGCTGGCGGGGGAGACGGGCAGCCGCCTGAGCCAATGGAAGGGCCGGCGGTGGGAGGAGGCTGCTGCGCCCCAAGCCGCAGGCGGGCTGGCCGGCGTCAGGTAAAGGCGGGGAAAGGAGGGACCCCCGGGGGAGGCCCAGGACTGAGCTCCGCCGGGGTGCGGGGGGTACGGAGCCCCAGACTGGCAAGCTTGAGAGTCCGGGTAAGCCTGGAGACAGAAGACGGGTGGCCCAGAGCCGGGACACTTGACGGAAGCTTCCAAACTTGGTGAAGATTGTGAAAGAAGTTGCTGGCCGGCCCTGAAGGTGGCAGAGGGTGCCTGCGAGCTCCTGCGGAAGGTCTGGAGCTCATCGTCGCTGGGGAGAGACTCTCTGCGCGTGGCCCAGACAAGACACCTTCGAAGGAAGGCCAGGCACTGGGCTTTAGTGTCTAAGTCTGAAACAAAGAAGCCAGTTTTTATTGAAAATTGGAACTCCTCACGTCGAGGAGTTTTCCAAAAGCTGAGTTTCCATCTCTGTTTTGGCGGGTAACCTCGAGGGCAGTCCATTGGAAGCAATTTACCACGGCTTAGTGAATGGACTTGACGTAGCTCAGGTTTTCTAGAGAAGAGAGAACGCTGTCCAGCATCCCTTCCCACCGCTGCCTGGGTTTCAAATCCCCCAGCACCAACTAGGTAGACAACTTAACTGGGTACCTTCCTCAAGGCAAGATTAACCTTTTGCTAACCCTGCACTGGGCGTGCAGAACACCTTTTTGGATCTTCCGTTGAGTTCCGTTTCACACTTTTCTTTTTGTCTTTGCTTTAAAGAAATCAAAAAACAAAAACAAACTTCAATCCCCACTCTGATGCCAATGGTAGATTGATTCTCCAGTCCTTATCCAGTAGGAGGAGGCACTGTGTGTTACCACTGGGTATCGGTGCTTAACTGTGTCGGTAGGAATGATTAGGCCCAGCTGCTTCCCTATTAGCTCTATCAATCAACTTCTTAATTGATAACCTCTCTAAAGCATAGATACCAACTATGCATTAGGTAACCTTTAAAGTGCTTCCTTCACGTCAATCTTGTGAAGTGGGTCATCCGGGTATGATTACTCCCATTTTAAAGGTGTAGAAACTACAGTTTCAAAAGGGTGTGATTTGCCTGGGGTCACACAGTCACACACACAATCCCACCCAAATTACTATGTATATATTTTGTATTGATTTGCGCATCTGTTATTTCCCTTGTAACACATAAACTCATTGAGCTACGGACTTGGGAGAGGGAGGGGAATAAAGAAGTAGCCTGATCCCAGAACAGTACCACCCACTTTGTAGATGCTTAATAAATGTTTGTGGGTTGCTTATTTAAGGCTGTCAGAGCCTAGAATCAAACCCAGATCTTCCAAGTTCCTTCTACTTTCCACTACTCCTTTGGTCTAGTTTGCCACTGAGCTTTGGCAATATAATTTGGTACGTTAAGAGAAGCCAGTCCATCAATACCATAGGTGTTTGAGTTAGAGGGTTCCTGGCCTAGAAGATAGAGAAACATTTTTTAAAATGTATTAACCAGATTGCAAATGCCTTGAGAGCAAGGGATTAAACTTTATTTAATCTTTTATCTCCTAGGCCAACCTGAGTGCTCAACTCAGAATAAGCCATTAACCCTTGAATATTCTATTATAATCCTTTTAGCACTTGGAAAGACCAAGCAGGTCAGTTGACTCAACATTATTATTATAATTTTTCTTTGAAACAAAAATTTTCATCTTATTTTAATTTTCTTTGCCCTATAGGGAAAAAAAAGTGCACTGCATCAATTGGTGTACTTTGGTCCTCCAAGCCTTCTGGTGTTCAGAAGTAACTGAAAGCCTCCTTGCTCTTGTTATCATAGGGTCACTAAAGGGCCTCCAGAGCAGCTAGATGTCCTAGTGGATGCAGTGCCAGCCCCGGAGTCAGGAGGACATGAGTTTAAATCAGACCTCAAACTCTTGCTAGCTGTGTGACCCTGGGCAAGTCCCTTAACCCTATTTGCCTCAGTTTCCTCATCTGTAAAATGAACTGGAGAAGGAAATGGCAAACCCCTTCAGTGTCTTTGCCAAGAAAACCCCAGATGGGGTCATGGAGAGTTTTATATGACTGATATGGCTCAATAATAACTAAAGGCTTCCAATGGATGAAGCAGCTCTTGGGTTGGAAGTTCCTTTACCTATCTAATGAAGAAAGTTGCTTTCAGCTAAGCTGTTTTGTTTTGGCTTTGGGAATTTGGAAAATTTCCAAATTTTGCCCATTATAATGAGTAGTGAGATTTGACAATATGATATCCTTACCAGGAAAAAAAAAATAGAATGGATTTTCATTGCCAAAGGGAAAAACAGAGGGTCTAAGAATGGTAGGTATTCTCTAATTTAAAACATGAAAAACATTCTGAGAATAAAAGGAAGATTCTAGTTATTTAACCTCCTGAGGAGTGTGGCTATCCTGTAAGCAGAGCTTTCACAGACAGTTATTTTTCCAGCCCAGACCCTCCTAGTTCCACATGTGTGGGAGGAGCATTAGTCTTTATCTGAGCCCATCTGTGGCTAATTCTTCACAGCTGATGTGAAAAAGGGAACTAAGGCAAGTAATTTGGATGAAATGGAAAGACAGTTTTAGCTTTGAGGGCTAGCTATGTGACCCTAGGCAAGTCCCTTAACCCTATTTGCCTCAGTTTCCTCATCTGTAAAATGATCTGGAGAAGGAAATGGCAAACCACATCAGTATCTTTGCCAAGATGGGATCACAAAGAGTTAGACATGGCTGAAACAGGCAACAACAACTAACAATTGGAGAGGAGACAGGGGATGGAGTAGCCTGGATTATCACCAAATCGTACAGTATTTCAGAGTTAGAAAGATCTCACTATACGGTCCCACAGAGAATTCTGGGTTTGAAGAACTTCAATGATGATTGACCACCTTCTTTAGATGACTCTAATTTTTAAGGTGTTTTTCCTGACATCAAGCCTGAATGTGCCTTTTTGCAACTTCAATCCCTTATTCTTGGTTTTACTTCTGGAGATCAAGTCTGAATCTCTTTTCTCTGCCCTTAGGTATTTGAATACAGCTATCTTATTGCCCTCTAAGACTTCCCTGCTAAAATACATCAGTTCTTTCAACCCATTGTCAAGTGGCATGAGCTTGATACTCTTTATCCTTGTTGTCCATCCATGGATGTTCCTTGTCAATGACAATCAATAAATATCTTATTGAGCACCTTTTAGGTGCTGGGGATATAAGGACAAAGATGAAACACTCCTTATCCTCATGGAATTTATAATCTTTGGGGTAAACATAAATAGATAAACATACAAGTAAATATAAAGTAAAAGCAGGGAAAACTGCAACCCAAGGTATTCAAAAGGATGGTGAGGCCCTCGACAGTTGTTGTTATTTGTCCTTCATTTTCAAAGACGGCCAGACAAGTAATGTCTTGACTAATGAGTGAGTTGGATTTAAGTGAGGCAGAGCATAGTCATCACCTTTGGTTTCTCTTCCTGAGTCATAATAAAGAAGTTTGGACGAGGAGTGGGTTTGGGGAAAAAGATGATGAACTGTTTTGGACATGGTTGAGTTTAATAGACCAATAAGTCATCTAGTTTAAAATGTCCTCTCTTAACTGTGGCACCTAGAACTGATGACAGGACTCTAGATGTGGCCTTTCTTTGACACCAACTTGTTCTTGAAGATGATGATGCCTTTATGATGAAGCTGCAGATCATGTTAGCTTCTCTGATTGCCATATCCCACTGCTGACTCATCTTGAGCTTGTGGTTTACTAAGACCTCCAGATCTCTTTTGCGACATCTACTCTATAACTATGCTTTCCCCATCCTGTTCTTATGAGGTTGACTTTTCTGAAGCCAAGGGCAAGATCCCAGTGAATTTCATCTCATTAGATTCAGTCCAATGCCTGTTGAGATCTTTCCAGATCTTGACTCCAGTATATCAGCTATGTGTCCCAGCTGTGTGCCATCTGCAAATTGAAGAGTATGTCATCTATATACATTTATACAAGTCATTGATTTAAAAAAAGCTGTTTAAGAGGACTTCCATGTTACTGACATTGTTCCCACATTCCTTTATCTGATCACAACCTATTGTCCTTCTGGACAGCTAGATGGTGCAGTGGATAGAGCAAAGGACCTAGAGTCAAGAAGACGAGTTCAAATCTGGCTTCAGACACTTACTAACTGTGTGACCCTGGGCAAGTCACATCTAGCGAACCACTTCAATATCTCTGCCAAGAAAACCTCAAATAGGATCATGAAGAGTTGGACATGACAAAAAAACAAAAACAAAAAACAAAAAAAAAAACCCACCATCATTTTACTTCTCCCTCTGTTTTGCAATCCCATATCTTGTACTTTGTCCCCACCATGATCTCCAATCCCTCAATCTCCCTGTACTGGCTACCTTCTCCTCCTTTCCCATCTTGACCTCTTAGTGAACCAGTTCAATTCTATACTGTCTTCTCTTGGGACTATTACTTCCTTTTCCTATTGTTTATCTTATCCTG